CTCCTCCCAGCAGCCCGCTCATCCCCGCAGCCAGCTCAGCTCCAGGGCCTTCAGTGATGAATCTGTCGTCAGGCCCTCCTGGCCAGAGCGACCCCGAGGGCTGGGTCCCTGAGCTGAGCACACAGCAGTGCCGGGACTGCAGTGAGCTGGCTGGCCCACCTGCCCATCACCAGCACACGTGTCTAAAAATTCCACTTTTAGCCCAGCCCATGTGGCTCAGTGGTTGAGCGTGGACCCATGAACCAGGAGGTCACAGTTCCTGATCAGGGCACATGCCCAGGTTGCGGGCTGGATCCCCAGTGGGGGGCGTGCAGGAGGCAGCCGATTGATGATTCGCTCTCATCATTGATGACTCTTTCTCTCTCCTTCTCCCTTCCTCTTTCTCTCTCTCTCTCTCTCTCTCTAAAAAAAAAAAGAAGAAGCTTTTAAGCAGATTCCATTTTTAGAGCCGCGTCTCAGTCAGTGAAAGGGAAACGTAGTGAATGAGTCACCGGCTTCCTGTGCGTAAGTGGGTCGCAGCCCGAGAGTGTCGGAGTTTCTCACCGACGCTGGGGCACTTGCCATCACGGTGCTGAGGAGCCCCCCACCCGGGGCAGGGCTGGCCCGGCTTTTCAGGGGTCGCAGAGCAGGGCTGGGGGCCATGGCTCCATGCACCAGGGGGTGCCCGTCTGCCCGTCTGCCCCCCGGGGACGGGAGGGAGGCCAGGGAAGAGCTGGCAGAGGGACAGGAGAGCGAGGTGACAAGAGAATGAGGGGTGTGCGGAGGGTCTCCAGCGAGCGCGCCCCGGGTGGGGGCAGGGAGGCCGCAGTTGGTCCCTTGGTGCCCCCCTCACGGCGACACGGCCAACAGAGGCCTCACGTCCCCGCGGGAATTCTGCTCAAATCCAACTCATCTCAGGGCGGCCTGGCAGCTCAGGCTCACCCACCGTGGACGGGGCGGCCGGGTCTGGGGGCGGGAGCAAGCGGAGGTGTGGGGAACCCCCAGGAGGTGTGGCCGAGGGGACCGGTGGGGAGGGCGGGGCTAGGCCAGGCCCAGCTGAAGTGCAACCCAGTCTCGGCCTCAAGGGAGTCACTCCGGACCCCACAGCGCAGTCCGTGGTCCAGGAGGCCCGGCACAGACCCGGTTCTGAGACCATGGCAGGCCCAGCGTGGCAGCCGGGCAGCCACTCGCCTAGGAACCCCCTCCCCAAGAAGGGCGGGCATTGGGGTGGGGCTCGCATGCTCCCCACGTCTCAGCCTCCCTCCAGCCCCCCACCTTCTGTACTGGCTTCGCCAGGGCTCTGTGCTTGTGCACGTCACACCTGGAGGTCAGCCCGCACAGGCCCCCGTTCTCCCTCCCTCGCCCCCCACACTGCGGCCTTCACCTGGGCAGGTGGTCTGGGTTCCAGGGCACAAGCCTGGTCACCAGGTGTCCCAGGACCAGGCTGCCAGGCCAAGAGCCCAGCCCAGTGGTCA